GGTATCGGTTGAGACCTGAATGTGACCCAGTATATAGTCTATTCTGGAGAAAGTTCCATGTGCTCTTGAGAAGATGAGTATTCTGTTGTTTTAGGGTGGAATGTTCTGTAAATATCTACGAGGTCGATCTGGTCCAATGTATCATTCAAAGCTCTTGTTTCCTTGTTGATTTTCTGCTTAGATGATCTGTCCATTGCTGAGAGTGGAGTATTGAGGTCTCCTACAATTAACGTATTGTTATCAATATGACTCTTTATTTTGGTTAACAGTTGGCTTATATAGATGGCTGCTCCCATGTTGGGGGCATAGAAATTTACAACTGTTAGATCTTCTTGTTGGATAGACCCTTTAAGAATGATATAGTGACCTTCTGTGTCTCTTATTACAGACTTTAGTTTAAAATCTAATTTGTCTGATATAAGAATTGCTATGCCAGCTTTCTTTTGAGGTCCACTGGCATGGAAGATGGATCTCCATCCCTTCACTTTCAGTCTGGATGTATCTTTAGGTTCAAAATGAGTCTCTTGTAGACAGCATATGGATGGGTCTTGTCTTTTTATCCAATCTGCAACCCTGTGCCATTTTATGGGAGTGTTTAGGCCATTCACGTTTAGAGTGATTATTGAAAGATATGAATTAATTGTCATCATGTTGCCTGTGAAGACGTTGTTTTTATAGATTGTCCCTGTAATTTTCTGTTGTAGATCACTCTTGGGGTCTTTCTCCTTTCATAGAACCCCCCTTAATATTTCTTGCAAGGCCAGCTTAGTGTTCACATATTCTTTCAGTTTCTGCTGGTCAAGGAAGCTCTGCATCTCTCCCTCCATTCTAAATGACAACCTTGCCAGATAAAGTATTCTTGGCTGCATGTTCTTCTCACTTAGTACCCTGAATATGTCTTGCCAGGCCTCTCTGGCTTGCCAGGTCTCTGTGGATAGGTCTGACGTTATTCTGATGTTCCTCCCTCTGTACGTAAGGAATCTCTTCCCCCTAACTGCCCTTAAGATGGTTTCCTTGGTTGTAAGATTTGCAAGTTTTACTATTACATGCTGGGGTGTTGGCCTGTTTTCCTTGATCTTAGGAGGGGTCCTCTCTGCCTCTAGGACTCGAATGTTTGTTTCATTTCCTAGATTAGGGAAGTTCTCAGCTACGATTTGCTCAAATACATCTTCTAGTCCTCTCTCTCTCTCCACTCCCTCCGGGATTCCAATTATTTTGACATTGGAATGCTTCATGGTGTCACTTATTTCTCTGATTCTATTTTCATGGATTCTGAGTTGTTTTTCCCTGGCCTCCTCTTTTCCCTTTTTATCTATTATATTGTCTTCCAGGTCGCTTATTCTCTCTTCTGCCTCAGTTACCCTAGCTGTTAGATTATCTAGATTGGATTGTATTTCATTGATAGCATTTTTAAGTTCTGCCAATTCACCTTTCATTTCTGCCCTTAGAGACTCTATGTTGCCATTAATTGATTTCCCCATTCTAGCCATTGTCTTCACAATTGCTAGCCTGAATTCCATCTCCAACATCTTGGTTATATCTGAATCCATTTGTAAATCTGCATCATAAGTCATAATCTCTGAGTCTTTTCTATTTTGGGGGTTCCTCCTCCTAGTCATTCTGTTTATGGGTGTTTGAGGAATGTATAGAGTCCAAATTATTGACCACAACCCAAGCAAGACGCACTGTTTTCTTGGGACCTTCAGGTTGCTGGCCTCTTGTTTTCCCAGCCTGTCTTCTGTGGGAGGGGCCTGCCGCGCTGTTACTCAGGCAACCCTGTTTGGGCGGAGTTGCCCTGCGCCCCTGTGGTGGGGGATGGGCTCAGTGGGAATCAGTTTTTGGGGCTTTTGTTCTCTGGCAGCTTTCCCTGGTGGCTTTCCGCGTCTCTTCTGGGAGTCAGAGCAGAAGAGACTGTTTCCAACCCTCTTGCCTCAGAGCAGAGAGATCGCAGTCTGTTCTTCAGTGAGCTCTCCAGGCCACACTGTCTCCGTTTCTGTCCGTGCTGCTATAAACTGCAGCGTCCTGGGTTGTGCACCCCTACGCAGCGCTCCCAGTCCTGCCTCCAGGTCAGGGCACGTCTCTGCCCTTTGTGCTTCTAAAACGGCCAGCCGCTCCCAGTTTGCAGGCGCGACCCCACCGCTCTGGTTTCCGCCCTGGGGGCTGCCCTAAAGTCTACTCCCCGCTGCTACCGGTCTGCGAGTCTGTACCCCGTCCACAGCTAGGGAGGCTGTCACTCACCAGCGGTGTAGGATCCCCATGGCCAGGCACCCTTCCACTGCCGTTTATCCTCCAATATCTGCCCGCAGAATCACAGCTCCCGGCTTCATACCTCAAACCCAACAGTGTGCGATATTCTGCTTGTAGAGATCCAGATCTTCTTACATTTCAGGCTGGTTTCGTGGGTGCTCAGAGTGGTCTGGTAGATATCCAGCTCAATTCCGGGGACCAGTTGAAATAGGTCCCCTACTCCTCTGCCATCTTTCCCCCTAGATCAACATTTTTATGTCATCTTGTACAGGTCTTTTTTGCTCACTACCATTGCTCTCAAATTTTGTGTTGTTAATCTAAAGATAACCTCATTAGAATTTTGTAGATAAAAGCCTCATCACAATAAGGCTGCATAAAATAAATTGAACAAAGCCAGACTTTTAGTGCAAACTACATCATTAGTGAGAGGATTTGGATCAGAGAGGTCACCATAGACTCTGATGTGACCAGACCGTAATGGTATTTTGGACCTATTCCATAATGGAGTAGGAAGGCCAGACCTGCTTAACAAAACACTTGATCCTCCATGCAATGCTCAGTGGGCATCATCTACAAGTTACAAGGCACTTTGAGGACCGCTAAATTGACAAACTGGAATAAAGACATTGAAATAGAAACTTTCCTCCCTGCTTCCCTCCCTTCCCTCCTTCTTTCCTATTCCTCTTTCCCTTTTTTATTTCTTTCCATTTTATCTTTTTACAGGCTACTGACAAAAACACACATTGCACATATGTTACATGCATGTTACAAGATGAACTATTAGAGATCGAGGAGACTAATATTGCTGCATGTGCAATCAAGACATTCCTCTAGGTTTAGCCAAGAGTTAGAGATTGCAACAGAGACAAACTCAAGCACACATTATCACATTCTCTAAAATATGCCTGAAATGTGATGAAAAATTTATCAACAGTTATTCTATATTATTTGGCTTGCTTTTCTTTTGTTAAAATTAATAATTTTTTATTAACCACCAGATGTTGTATGATCCAGTTTTAATAATATCATTTATTTATCTTTCTGTTTGTCTAAACTTTCATTCGTATATAGGCATAGAGAGATGTCTGAAATAATATTCATTTAAGGTTAGTAATGGTCATTTTCTGAGTGGTAAGAAGTATTTATTGCTTTATTTGTTGTGCTTTCCTTAGTCGCTTGAATTTTTTAAATGAGGATGTATCTTTTTTAAAAAAATCGAAGTTGTTATTCTTTAATAAAATCATCCAAAACAATGATTTTCTACTTATCTAGCTTCTGGTTAAAAGTGACAAATAGGGAATGAAAAGTTATACTGTTAAGCCCTTAAGTTTTAAGAGAAAAAAAAGTGTAAATATTATAATTACCCAGGTGAACCAACAAAATTTAAAATGCAATGTATCAAAGCCAAAAATCACTCAAAGAAGGCAAACAAATAAATAAACATTAAGTATAGTGAAATACAAAAACCCTTGATTCTCCTAAGGCCATTTCCTGCCCAATTAAAGAATGAAATAAAATGTTTATTTTTAACACTTGGTTATCAGGGATTCTGGGGAGAAAACCAACCTGTGGGGGTGGTGGGAAGAAAGAGAGGGTCCCAGGGGACTGAGACTGGTTCTCTAGTCCTTGATGGCACCACAAAAGGTGCCCATATTAGTGCTTTGTTTCAGTGTTTTTGAAGGATCAGCTTACAGCAAAGTAAGAGGGACTGCATGATATGAGAAACCTTTTACTGATCATTAGAGTTGATCTTTGGCCAGAAAATACCAATTTTCTTCCCTGTGGACAGACAGTATCCAGAAATCTCTGACTTCCTAGACTGAGGTCTTGAACTTATAGAAATTGTGGTTCAAAAAGAGCATCACCTGCTGGATGAGTTACTCCAAAGAGCTGTCAGTCACCAAATGGGAAGTGCTATTTGTTACATATTTACATTACAGCTGCAAACAGAGAATAACCCTATCTTCCCATACAGAATATACTCTGTGGTTTAAAAACAAACTAGATGATACATGACAGGAGGGAAATTCACTTAGATAGCAAATTCACTAACTTAAGGTATCTATTTACAAATTGGCTGTGAAGTCCAATCATTTATTAAACAAAGATTTATGCCTTGATCCCTTGAAAGTGATAGAAGTTGTGCAGTGAACTTGAGATGCATACAAATCAAATGAAAACACCAATGACTTCAATCTAGGCAGGCCTATCATTCTTTTAAATGACAAGTGAAATTCAGAGTGTTGGTGGGAATGGGGAGAAATTCAGACTTTCATACATTTCTAATGGAAATATGAATTGGTAAAACCACTTTGGAAATCTGTTTGGCAGTCTCTTCTAAAGTTAAACATACACATACCCTACGACCTAGCCATTCTCCTCCTAGGTATATATTTAATAAAAATGCATATACATGTGCAGCAAAAGACAGACATGAAAATGTTTGTAGCAGCATTTTTTTGTAATATCCTCAAAATGTAAATGACCCAAATGCCAATGAACAGTAGAATGGATACATTATCATATTGTATAATAGAATACTGTATAGAAATGAGAATGAACAAACTGTAACTGTAAACAACAATGTGAATTAATCTCATGAACATAATGTGGATCAGGCAGACACAATCTAGGCCATCTGATAAATTATAAAAACAAGCAGAATGAAACTATGATGTTAGAAGTCAGGAGACTGGTTACCCTTGGGGTTAAAATTATGAAAGGAGCATGAGGGAGTTTCCAGAGGCTGGTGCTTCTTTATTGCTTGCTTTGGGTGCTGGTTAGATGCTTGAGTTCAGTTTGTGAAGATTCATTGAGCTGCACACTTATGATGTATGTACCTTTCTATTTATCTGTTATACTTCAATAAGTTAAAAAATTAAAATGTATAAATGTTTATTCTTTATGACAGGTTTAAATTGCCCTCACTTATTACTGTGCTTATAGCAATGACCATGTTCAGTATTTGATGTTCAGGCAACATTTGATCTTTAACAAAGGTACAGATTAAAAATTCAAATACATATATGCTTGAAAAATAACTATTTCTTTTTTTTTAAGATTTTATTTATTTATTTGACAGAGAGAGACACAGTAAGAGAGGGAACACAAGCAGGGGGATGGGGGAAGGAGAAGCAGGCTTCCCGCAGAGCAGGGAGCCCGATGCGGGGCTCGATCCCAGGACCCTGGGATCATGACCTGAGCCGAAGGCAGACGCTTAACGACTGAGCCACCCAGGCACCCCATAACTATTTATTTCTAAAAGTGACATGATAAAACAAATAGACAAAACTAAATTGCTTTCTCATTTGTCATAAGCATTCTGGCCTTTCTCATTTCCCACTTCTGGACTGAGCTGATCTCCAGCAAATCTATGTGCGGAGGGAAGAGGTGGTGCTAATCTAAAGAACGATCAAGTGCCAATAGTAGCCATAATAATAATAATATCAATAATAATAATAGAACTTGAGTAGTAAAAATACCATTTACTGAGCATTTTGTAGTAAGATCATAGATATGCCAAGTATTACAAATGAAACAATGTGGGTAATACAATCATCTCTGTGAGTTAGGCTAAAAAGAGGTTTTCATCTGAAATATTAAGATTCATAGAGCTTTCAAACTCAAAGGCCAGGCAGGTAATACAAATGAATAAGGTAGGCCCGATGAAATACAATGGGGCCTGGTGGTGGGGTCTGGAAAAACTATAGAGCCCCTAACCCCTAACTGAGAACCAGAGTAGGTTCAGATCAGACACATCAGGGACTAGGTAGAAGTTCAAACAATCAGGCCCCACCCCAGATCTACTGAGTCAGGAACTCTGGGGTGGAGCCCAGTAACCTGAGTTTTAACAAGCTTGATTCTGCCACATTCATGTATGAGAACCACTGATCTATATGTATTCTAATTCTTTTTTTTTTTTTTAACATGTGGGTTTAAAACAAAAAAGAAAGATCTTCTGGCCAGATTTGGCCATAGGCTACCAATTTATAACTCCTGATGAGAATCAAATGAATTTGTACAACTATGTCTGTATTTCCTTTTTCTAAGATAGAGAAAGATAGTATGTTGAACCTAAGTTTTATCCTCTCCAGGATTCAGACCTATCTGGGCATGCCTGGAGTCCGGTTGGGATAGGCCTTCTGGAATTCTATTTATAAGACAAGTTAAGTCGCCTCCAGGAACTAATCCCACTGGAAGAAAGAACCAAGGTACGGAGGTTGCATGAAGGGCAACAGATGTGGTTGAATGTGTCTGAGTACATCATGGTGTCTGTCACTCAGACTGCAGCCCAGCCTGGTGGAGTCATTCATTCTTTCAACAAATAGCTATCAAGCATCTCCCTAAGCTGTACCTGAGCCCTGTGACTCCAGGGTGGCTGTAACAGAAGATCTAGCAAAGGCTAAAGGAACTGGTTTTGCTCATCTTCTTAGGACACGAGGAGTGCCACCTGTCCATGGCATGAATACTGGTGCCAGGGGCTGTAATGTGGGCACCTCTGGCATCCTGTGATGTGCTGGAAGTTAGACTTCGGGACTCGGAGGCCTCCTTGCACACGTCAGCAGCTGCCAACAGTGGTGGCAGTACCTGCGGTGGGCAGTGATGACACAGCTTGAGGATTGGCAGCTGCTTGTATCAGGCAAGGAGAGGCGTGGACACCATTTGGCAGCTGAGAGAAGTGTTCTTGGAGCACACGGGCACCCTGTGTGCCCTAGATCAGGACACCCTGATCTAGTGAATATAGAGGATGAATCCCGCCCCCGAAGAGCTAGGGAAACGGGATTTTGTAGTTATGGCTGTTGCTATGTGTAAATTACACGTAGGAAAACACTGAGTCCTTAAGGGAATCTATGACTTTTTGTTTTTCTGCCTTGGCAACATTTAAAGAAACTACATGTTGCTTCTTGTGATAAAGTTAAGGTAATGTGCCTGCAGTGAACACTGTAGACACAAATATCAGATTTCGAACACTTGGTTTCCCTTTTTAAAATAAAAAACAGGAAGATTATTATAGGCTTTGGGACATGAGGTTTAAAAAAATCACATCACACATTCCTAATTTTTCCCCCTCTCTCAAAACATCCCTATAAAATGAAACAACATTGCTGATGAGCTGTTCTTTGGCACCAGTGGACAGTTCATTGCAAAGGAAAAAGGATCTTGGAAACAGCCACTCCCATCCTGCCAGAATTTTGAGAGATTGATGCCCTTTTCTTTCATTTCTGCAATGACTATAGGCTACAGATTTTCAGTTACTTTCTGAAATCACAAATTGAAGTCTATTAAAAACATATTTGTTATTCTACACACACATACATACCCCACAAAGGTTTGGGAGTTTGGAAACCACAAGTATCTGTAAGACCTAAGGAATTTCCCCTGAGTAACCAGAATTTTCCAAAAAATGGCAAGCAGTTGCTTCACTGCATTTAACTTGATCTTTTATGATATACCTAATGAGCAAGGCGTGTGGTATGTCAGTATTCCAACTAGATAGCAATACCCCGCAGATTTTTAATTTTCTGGTAGAGCCATACTTTTTTTCTTGATTGCCATTTATTTGAAACCAACTTGTTAAGCCCAAGCAAACTAAAAGAGTCACTTTAGTTTTGATACTTCAGTCCTAGCCAACCCAGAGCATCCATAGTAGAATGTTAGGAGGTGGGGGCAGAGATCAGGAGATGTGAGCCCTGACCAGGTGTGTCACCTTGGACAAGTCAGTTCCCACAATGGGGCTCAGTCTAACTCTTGGTCATATTGGAGGCAGGCAAATTGGACAGAGTTCTGTGGGTAGAGTGCTGCATTCCTTAACCTCTAGATTAAGAGAACTCTCCCTGCAGAGTCCTAATGAAGGATCAACTATTTGAAAGACAGTTTTGCCTTGAGAAGACTCTCAGAGGCTATTGATATTATAGATTTCTTCTTTATAGAGAGCTGGGGTAATTTTCTGTGTACCTTTGGGCATAAGTGACTGGTATTGTTGCCAGTCAAAGGCTTGTTTCTATATTAACTTTACAGAATTTAGTTTCCTGGAATACAAATTGCTAACAGGAATATGAAACATTTCTTCAGTTCTGTTTTCATAATGTTCCTTTCCTTTATGCTCCTCCTTCCGACTCATACCTGGCCTCTTCCCTTCCCTTTTTACGTGAGTTTATACATGGGTTACCAGATTAATCCCAAGTACGGCCCTTCTCCTGTTACTTTCCTGCTCAAAAACCTGAATCGTTCTCTGTTTACCACAATATAAACTGTGAGCTCCTCGTGGCATACAAAGTCCCTTCTGTACCATCTGACTCAACCTAGCTTCCCATCCTTGTGGCCCATTACACCCTTTACCGCCGGCTTTGAATCTTCCTGCTCTTTATTTCCATGTCCACAGATGCTCTGGCCCTATGCCTTTGTCCTGCTGGTTCTTTCTTCCTGTTTCCACCTGTTCCGATTCTACTTACACCTAACGTTTATGGCCAAGATTCTGCTCCCAGCTTTTCTTGGTCTCTCTCAACTGCAGTCAACCTCTTATTTCTGAATTCCTGTGGCAACTTATCTGCATCTCTTTCATAACAGTTATCACTTTGTACTCTATATTATAGATATTTATGTTGTTATCTTATCTTCCTTACCAGATAATCAGTTTCATGAGGTCAGAGAATATCTGTTCCATATTTATACCCCTCAAGGTACCTGGCACATAGTTTTTCCACAGTTCAATGAATAAATAATATCAGCGGTATCATGGAAATTTGAACTTATCCAAACTCCTTCAACCCAATTAGAACCACTCATGGGGCATTTTTTTTAAATTGTGAAATTTCTTCACTTTTTTTATTAGCTATGTATGTATCTATCAATCTTTATCTCTATGTCATAATTTCTCAGCTTATCTCATTTCAGTGAGAAAAATTAGGAAAAAAAGAAAAGTGAGGAAGATACAATAACTTAAACTACAGGTGTAGCAAGTAATTAAAATCCAGTTCCCTTGCTTCAAGCATTGTGCTGTAGTCAGCTTTCAGAGGTGGTTTAGGTCCACATGAATTTGTGTACTGTGATGTTCAAATGTTTGATAAAGCTGACGCAACTCTATGAGAAAGGTCAACACTAACTCTGCAGATGGTACATATAAGCTTTAGTTCAGTGAGGTAAAAAATTCATTTGGGGGCACCTGGGTGGCTTAGTCATTAAGAGTCTGCCTTCGGCTCAGGTCATGATCCCAGGGTCCTGGGATCGAGCTCCGCATCGGGCTCCCTGCTCCGCGGGAAGCCTGCTTCTCCCTCTCCCACTCCCCCTGCTTGTGTTTCCTCTCTCGCTGTGTCTCTCTCTGTCATATAAATAAATAAAATCTTTAAAAAAAAAAAATCATTTGAAGTACTGCTACATGTGGGCCATTGAGAAAAGTCATGGCCTTGGTTTTTTGCGGGGAAGGGGCAAAGAGTTGCCACTCAATGGAAGATCTGCACCTAAGTGGGGGCAGTCAGATGACTAGTCACAAGACAGTGCTCATAATATATACATCTGTATACTAAAGTGGTTATGTATATATAAATATACATATCTATAAAATATATAATGTAACATATATTAAGCAATTACATAATTATATATAATGTATATTATATATGTATATATATATATAAAAACCACTTTATTCATTTCTATACTTTGGGTGATGTTTGCCAATTTTTAGACAAATTCTGTATCTTGAAATTAATCTTAGGGCTTCCACATCACCTACTTGAAATATATCTATTTGAATGTCAAATTAATTACCAAATATCAACAAACTTGAAAAAATTAAAGGAAAGAAAAATAATAATTGGAAATGTCCATCCATTGACGAATAGTTAAAATGTGGTACACTGATACAAAGGAATACTATTCAGTCATAAATAGAATTGATACCTGCTACAACATGGATGAACCTTGAAAATTTTATGTTTAGTGAAAGAAGCCAGACACCAAAGCCATCTATGTATGGTTCCATTTGTATGGAGTTTCCAGAACAGGCAAATGCCTGGAGGCAGAAGGTGGGTTATTGGCTGCCTGCAGCTGGAGGGCGGGGAAATAAGGGTGACTGCTGATGGATAGGGGGTTTCTTCTGGAGCTGATGAAAATGTTTGGAAGTAGAAAGCGGTGATGGTTACCCAACTTTGTGAATATACTAAAAGCCACTAAACTGTACATTTTTAAAAGGGCTGAACATTATGGTATGTGAATTATATCTCAATTTTATAAAAATACCAATCAAAGATTGCACAACAAAGAGGTTTTCCAGAAGTTTATCTAGCCACAGAGTGGAGAGATGGTAGTCTTTGAGAGGCATAGTCTTCAGCACACTTGCTCTCTCAGTGGTCACTGGGTTTTACGGTAACTGAGCAAGATATCTGCTAAATGCTTCTTCCCTCCTTGTCCAGGCTGAATATGAAAGCACACAGCTGCTACCTTACAGTGAAATAAAACCTTTCATTTGTATATTGGCTTACAATTGTTCAAGCACATTTACCCTCATTAACTCAATTCTCATGTTTTATTTCTAAACATATTTACACCTATTTATAACTGTTCATCCATCATGAAAGCAAGAACATTCCGTGTCTTCTAAATGCTATGGAGTTCTCTGCCAACTCTCTTTGCTTCACCCTCCTCTTTCTCATGTATTTTACCCATATATGTCCAAGTCTTCTGACTTTTTACATAGCCATAGTTCCTCATGTTTCTGCTTTCTGAGTCTTTATTTTCAAGATAGTGATTTGTTCCTCATCTTTCTCCTTCCTCTGAATAAGACCCATATGTTTTTTCTTTAAAACTATAATTCACCTCTTCCTCTCCCCTAGTCTTGGCTGTGTGACTCCAAAAATATTTAGTTATGGCCGAAGTAATGGTAGTTGCTGCCCCATCCTGAATATTTTTATTGTAGAACCACTGTTTGTTAAGACATTTTGTAAGTTATCTCTGTTTTATATTATATTTAATATAAGCCATATTTATTATATTTATTCTTTTATTTCCTGTAGGCCCTGAAAGATTATTTTCATACCTGGGTTTTGTTATTTATTCTTTTATAAGTATACATCTCCTTTAAGAGGCCTTTGATAATTTCCTATCATACTTTTTAGATCCTCAACCCCCACATTCCTCCTTATGTCCCACTTTTATTTTGTTAGCATCCATACTTGTTCATCTTGTTTATTTTTTATGTATTTTAAATGCTCTTTTTTTTTCCTAAATGATGCCATTATAGCTGTAAATTGCCTAACAACAGTTTCTTTTCACATCACCCCCCGCCCCCCAGGTTTCCTGGATTTGGTCTGCACTTTCTTGTGACAGGATCTATACACCATAAAGACAAAAACATGAAGCCTTAATTAGACCCTTTCTTTCCTCATTTTTACCTGGAGAATGAAGATTCAGTTCAGAGGCCCCTCTAAATCTTCAGCTATTTCCACAGTTTACCTGGCAATTTTCTGCACTTCATAGTCTTAAAGAAAAAACCATCACTGGTCCATGCACAAGACTCTTCTTTAAACAGAGCAAGTGGTCTTCCTATGACCTTCCTTTGGTATCTTAACCCTTCTCTCTCTAGTCCCTTTTCTTTCACTTACCTATACCATTTGATTACATGTCTAAATTCGTCATTAGACTACAAGCTTGTTTGAAGACAAAAGCTAGATTGTATTCATTTTTGCTACCTCCCACATCCTAATGCAGCAGCAGTAACAGCACAGCCAAAAAGGTTGTAGCAGCCATGCTGTGGGGCTGTGAGCTAAACAAGAAGTAGACTTGGACCTTCAAACCCCAGAAAGAAGCAAAGCAGAACTGTGAGCTGTTGCTTAGTATGATTTGCTTGGGGGAGAAAGCCAAAGAGGAAATGAATGTCATGGGGATTCTGCCCCCAGCAAGCCCAGAGGACAAGAAGATGAAGCCCATCACCATGACCCCACTTCAGGCCTCTGTCCCATCCATGGTCATCATAATGGGTTGTGAGCTTTCTCCTCCAGTTGCTTTCCAGCTCCAGGGTGGCTCTGGACCTGTGTTCTTGAGTGGCCAGGAATGTTAGAACATTTCAGATCTAACCTAGGAATAGGAGGAGGAGAAGGAGGAGAAAGAAGATGATGTCGATGTAGATGCGTTCCTGGAGGAGGAGGCCCCTGTCCAGCAAGTCAAGAAGCTGGTGCCCCAGAAGCAGACAAGCATTGCTAAGAAAAGAAGAAGTGGAAAAAGCAGAGAAGCAGTGAGATTCAGTAATAAAGACAATAGCCCTGTGAGAAAGGTCAAACCCACACTCAGACCTAAAAAGCCAGGATCCAAGAAATGAGGAGCCAGGAAGGCCTGCAGCCACAGTGACCAAGACAGGGTCTGTGAATGGACCTGCCTCAGGGTATGCTGTGGACCCAAGATGTCCCCCCACCTGGGCTGCTCTCCATCTGGGTCTGACTGTGATGGAGGTGTTGTTGGGACCATAAAAGAGCCCCTTACCCCTAACTATCCTCTTTTAGCAGGACCTGGAGAGAAGAGCAGTGGCCTCGGGGCCACAATAAAGTTCGCTTTGCCAGAAAAAAATTTTTTTACAAAGTATCCATCCCTTAGCACAATATATTAAACATTATAAGGTCTTAGCAAAACATTTGTTAAATAAGTATTTTTTTAATATTTTGTTTCTCTTAAGTTCATTAAGTAGCTGCTCACTTCTTGCCATTTGTTCTACTTTCTTCTCTTTTGCTTGTTTTTCTCACAGTATTTCAGCAAAACTGCATTTCTGTGGATACAAGATTGCCTTTTAGGATAAGAAAAATGTCTTGGATCTAGTTAGAGGTAATGATTGCTCAGCAAAGTGAATGCACTCAAGGCAATGAATTTTACATTTTTTAAAAAGTTAATGGTTGCACTGGGTATTATATGCAAACAATGAATCATGGAACACTACATCAAAAACTAATGATGTAATGTATGGTGATTAACATAACATAATAAAAAAAAGTTCAAAAAAAAGTTAATGGTTAGTTTATGTTATGTGGATTTTATCTCAATTAAAAAAAAACAACTGCATTACTTACTTGGGTCTGTGATGCAAAGAACCTCCAGTTTGTCAAGTCTCCTTCTTGTCTTTCAAAATGCTAATACTTTTCTTTCATTGACTTGGCTATTTCACCTTTCTCCCATTTGCTGCTGAAAACAGTAATATAAGGGTGATCCAGGCAGCTGTCTCAAGGTTTTGTGGAACTCAGCAGTGAAACCATCAAGCGTTGGTCACAATTTATTTTTTAACTATAATTACTACTAGTAAGTCATTCTGTTTCTGCTCTTTTAATGATACTCTCTTATTACTGCCCCTTCTCTCTCTTCTCTTTTCTCTCTGCCTTTTCTTGCTCTTAAATAAGTTCCATAAATAATGTGCCTTACTACAGTGGCCATCTATGTCCTGGAGACTTTATATAAGGAAGACAGGACTTCTAAAGACTTCAGTCATTACGGGCTTACTTGTTCCTGATACGGATTAACCACACCTCCTCCTTGTTATCTTGTTTATCCAGAAACAGAAGAGAGGAAATTTTCCTCCTTGTGGGTTTTTGGAGTCAGACAGCCTCAGTTTAGATCCTGGTTCTGTCACCTACTAGCTCCGTGATCTTAGGTCAGTCATTTGGACAAGTCAGTTTCCTCATGTAAAAACTGGGGATAACAATAGTACCTACCTCCTAAGTCCTTGTGAAGACTGAATAAGATAATGCACATAAATGTCCCTCGGGGGTACACACACACATGTATCTGTGTGTACACATTCTTTTTCTACTTCTGCGCTAGCATCAAAAACCACTCGCCTTCTTTGCTACAGACACCAAGCTACAGTTGCTTCTTCTGCTCCCTGCCTAGAGAATTGGCTCTTTCTCCCATCCGCTCTGTGCACAAACAAATGCCAGTCAAGGAAGCACCCAGTTGGAAAAGTAAGCAAGGAGTATATTCAGTGAGTTTCAGTATTATAAGAAAGTCATCCAGGAGTAGGTATCAGGCACAGGAAGAAAAGAAAAGGCAATTCTCTGTGACAAAATTTATAATTCCTCTTTGTGATCTTTATAATTTTGATAGTAATTCTTTTTCATTGCACAAAATGGCATAGGGAATCTAAATATCATGCAGAAATTTGTTATAAATGTCATATCCCTTTAAACTGGCGGGGGTGGGGAAGCTTTCAACAGTAGGTAAAAGTTATTACACATGTTTAAGAAGTTGCACAATATTTCTTATTTGTTTTCAGCATGAAAGTAAAATTGCCCGCTGTATTATCAGGAGGCATCCAGGTTCAAGGAAAGCAGTCTGGCCCTGCTACCAAGTGACCTTGGACAGGCCACTTCTCTTAGCTGTGTCCGTTTATTCATCTGGAAAATACAAGCACTGGATCTACTCTCCACTATTTTTTATTCAAGAACTGCTTTTCACAGAACAACTCCATTTCCCAGGAATTTAAAAAACATCTTATCATTTTGTGTAGTATATTATGAAGTGGTTTTAGGTTAAAAATTTTTTTAGATTTGTATTTCAATAAAAATATATTAAAATAATTTAAATAAAACCACCAACATATAACCAGAATCCTATATTTCCTTTTGGGACAGTGTTGGGTTAGACAACAGTGAGTCTTATTATCTCCATGTCAACGTTTTATTTAGATGGGTTTGTTTGTTTCTTTATCTTGTAAGGGAATATCATGAGTTTGGATAATATAGAGTGGACTTTTTTTTAAATTTTTTTAAAAGATTTTATTTATTTATTTGACAGAGAGAGACACAGCAAGAGAGGGAACACAAGCAAGGGGAGTGGGAGAGGAAGAAGCAGGCTTCCCACTGAGCAGGGAGCCCGATGCAGGGCTCGATCCCAGGACCCCATCATGACCTGAGCTGAAGGCAGATGCTTAGTGACTGAGCCACCCAGGCGCCCCTAGAGTGGACTTTTTGAGGGCATAATTAAGTCTTGCTCAAAAGCCATACAAAGTATGTCTAAATACTACAGAATATAGATTAAGGATTTTTTTTTTTGGCATAAGTACATAATTCTTGGTGCTCATTCTAGAGTTTGGATGAATAGCTAGAAAGTTTATTGTGACTTCGAAGTATTTTTATCTTGTGTTCATGAGACTGTATATTGAATACTTCCTTATGCTTGCTGGAAGGCATGCCCTTGGAATCCAGAGATAAACTTTCCCAAGTGGCACACAAGTTGGGTACTGAGTAGAAGACTGCCAGGGTTGAAGTCAGAAGGCCTCCATTCAAGTCTTGACACCCTACTTACTGGTGGAGTACCTGGGTCAACCATTTAACCCTGAGCTTCAGTTTCCTCATCTGCAAAATGAGGGTGATTATATAGCTGTACAACTTCAGTGAAATAAAGTGTAAGGCATTACCTTGAAAAAAGTATCACAGGAGTGTTATCACAGAGCATATGGCAGCACCTGAACTAGGGTGAGGTGAGTGAGGTGCTCAGGGCTCAACATCTAAGGAGGCACTCACTCTCAGGGATGAGCCTGTACTTACCTCATCCTGAGAATGTTGAGCCCTGCCCCTCAGTCTACCCTAGTCCAGGCGCTGGTGTTTGGCCGAGCACAGTTCCTGTGAATAGGAGCCATAAGTCTCCACATGTGGGTCTGGTTTCTGAAAGGCTATTTTGTTGTTGTTTACATACACTTAAGGTAGGTTAGGACCAGCCTTTCCTTCTTCCCAAAAGCCATAATGTTGCTTGGATAAAACAATCCTCTAACTTCCTTTCTTCTTCCTGTTTTTCTATTCCTTTACCATGCTACTTATATATCTGTGCATGGATGTTACACGATACATTCATTTTATCTTCAGCTCTTCTTCTAGAGGCCCTGTTTCATTACAATGGATTGCTAAATTAGACTGTGTCTACATTATTGTTTTCTGAAATTTGTACTCCTGAGGGGTGGGGGGTCTTTTAACTTCAGCTTCCTTAAAGTGCTTGCTTTCAAGGTAGAAGCAATTTACTTGTCAAGTAAAAAGATGTTACAAGGTTATCATGAAAAATTCTAGAGGTGAATGGGTATGAAAACAGTTCTTCTAGACCCAGAGCCAAAGTTCTAGATGCAAAAATTAATTGCTCTCTGTACAGATTTTTCAGCAGCAGTTCACATGCTCACATGTGTCTGGCTGAGGTGGACTTTTCAGGGTAACTGTTCAGTAACAAACCCCTCACTGAGTTCTTTAAACAAGAGAGGCTAGTGTTACTGGTTGGCCTTAGAGCTTTCTCATATTGCTCCCTAGTAGAGTTTGAAAACTTGTTGCCCACTTTTCCACTGGAATTTCCTCAGGCCAGTCTTAAATTTTGCCCCCTAATATCCTATACTTGTCTTCTAAATCTTTACAGATAGCCAAATACCACCAATGATATTTTGAAACTAAATCTGTCACCAAAGAATTATTATTTTTTTAATGTATGAAAACATAATCAGGATCAATGATTAGTAAGATCTGTAGAGGCAGGAGAACTGGCAAATAGGGAGACTCTCCAGGAAATGTGACCTACAGTAAAAGTATTGATGAGGTTCTTTCAGAGAGTGCTTTTTTGCCCTTTAGTAGTTAAGAAGCAGAAGAAAAAAAAAAGGCTTAAGACCAATTTCTAAGTCTATTAATTTATTGGAAAGTTAGAACATTGATGAAATATGGTACTTGTAGCCCATTATTTTTCCTATTGTGAAAGGTAAATATATTAATGGAGAGGAATTTCAGTTTATCAACAAACGATGACATCAAACTAAATGCATTATTCAGGTGTTTTTCCTTTGTTACTCAGCAATCTGTACTTTGGGGTTTATTATTTATGTCTCACAAAACTTCCTCAAACTAGGCAGAGCATAACAAACCATGTGCTAGATGTGTAGGTTGTTAGTTCAGGATAAAGGAATTTCAAGTTGAAATATAGTTAGGAAATCTGCTGAAATGCCACACAAATTTACCAGACATTTAAAACAGACACTGTCCTGGATGTCGAGATTTGGGGAGACTTTTTTTGTCCTTTTTTATATTTTTGATTTTTATAATAATAGTAATAATAAAAGAGTAGGGGGAAATTAGGAATGTTTTCTATAAGGATTTATAATCCATGTTTCCTCAGCTTCCTCTGGCAGGGCCAGAGGGCAGGAATTGGCCCACAGTGTGGCTCACCAGCAGTTCAAATTGGGGCGGAGGGAGGGTATGGTAAACGTGGGTATGGGTCCAGACCAACATTAATATGCATTCACTCATCCATAATTCGACAGCTATTTAAAGAAAGCCAACCACGTGGAAAGCATTGTGTGAGGGGCTGGGCAACCAATAATGAACTCAAGCGTGGAGCTTCTGTTCTAAAATTCTTCAATTAGTATTACAATAAGGGCTGCAAAGAAATAACAAGATTCTAGGAGAGTTTATGATGGCAGAACCTGACCAGGTCCGGCATAGGGTGGAAGGTGGCTGTGAAGAAGTGATAAAGTTTACAGTTCTGAAGGGTAAGCAGGAATCAGCCACGTGTATAGGGTCGGGGAAAGAAGGCATTCTAGGTAGAGGGAATGGTTTGTGAGAAGGCCCAGAAATATGGAAAAGCATGTCAACATCAAGAAACTAAGAAGCCATCGTGGCTGGAGTCAAAGGAGCAAGGAGTTATTAGATGTGAGGGTTTGTTTTGTCTTAAGATTTACATTTTTAAAATAGTCTGGCTGCTCTGTGGAGGCTGGACTAGAAGGGCAAGAGGGGACACAGGGAGCCCTGGAGGAGACTGTTAGAATGGTCCCCCTGAGAAGTAATGCAAGCCTGGGTGGTGGTTGTGGCATTGGGCTTAGGGCATAACAGACAAATTCCAGAGGTACTACAGGAGGCAGAATTGACAAGAATTGCTGCTTGTTGGTTATAGGAAACAGAACGTTGTCAAGAATGACTCCCAGGGCGCCTGGGTGGC